CCTGAACTCTGGGCCTGGGCGCTGTCCCTCAGTTCTTCAGCTCAAGGCTAGCGCTCTACCACTTGAGCCACAGCGCCACTTCCGGCTTTTTTCTTTTTTCTTATGTGGTGCTGAGGAATCAAACCCAGGGCCTCATGCATGCAAGGCAAGCGCTCTACCTCTGAGCCACCTTCCCAGCCCCGAGGATGAGTATTTTGGAGTTAAACTATTCTTAGTACTTGTGAGTATATATTAAAATTTTCCTAATAAAATTGAAAAACTTGTGGTAAATGTTTCAAATTCAACCCCCCAAATACATAATAAATAAGTTGGAGTGATACAATAGACAGGGAAGCAAACTGGAGCTGGGAATGGGAGAAAAAAGAAAAGGCAGAAGGAAGAAAAAAGGAGATGGGGTCAGGCAGGGGAGAAGGGAAGGGGGAAGGAGAGAAAGGGAGAGGGTTTAGAGGGGGAAAGGAAAGAGGGAGGGTAGAAGAAGGGGCAGAGGAAGAGGGAGGGAGGGGGAAAAGAGAAAGAAAATAAGAGTCTGCTCCACCTTGGAATATGGATTGGTGGCAGAGCAAGCCTGAGATCCTCACTGTTCATCCCCAGTACTAGGACCTGTACTAGGACCTTTAGGTAGGTCATGTCATTGTGTCCTTGGTGACATTGTGAGGTAAGGCTCTTTAACTCCTTTGCAGATACGTTTAGCTGAGCTCAGAGATTAGGCTATCTGCCCTGGTCCTGCTATACAAAGCTGGCTTCACAGGCCTAGAGTATGATTGGACCAAACTTACCCAATTGCTTCTTCATAATTATGCTTTTGAAGGCCTGTCGAGTGGGCTATTTCATTGGTGTGGAGTAATTTACTGTAATTTACTAACTGCTATCCATTTCTGTGTCCTACAGCTCTTTGCTTTCCTACCTAGAACATTTTCCATTCTGGGGAATGATTCCTTTACTGGGGTAGAGTTATTTTGTGCTCATACACAAGGCTGGACCTCATTACCACAGCTAATTGACTGTGGTGAAGGGAATGTTCTTGTGAGGGCCGAGCAGGCAGCACAATGAAAACCTGCAGATTTCTTCTAGCAGTGCTGGGGATTGGGTGCTGGGGACAGGGCCTGAAGTGAGGTTCAGGCTTCTGCTAGGCCTAGTAGCATCCCAGGGCAATTGGGTGGCCTTCAGGCTTTTCCAGTGCCTTCCTGGATACAACTGTTTGGGATTCCACGTAGAAGAAGGATAGGCTGGAAGAGGGATTAGCTGAGATCTAGCACACACACCTCCATCTATCTGTACCCTGATTTCCTGCCTTAACCCCCCAGCCCTTGCCATTTATTTTCATAAAGGATTAGTACAAGGACACACATCTTCAGAACCTTCCCTGCGGGAGATGGGGGAAACCTCTCTCAATGCCTTAGGTACTGTCTTAGAATTGAGATAAAATTTGAGGAGGAGGAAGGGTGCCAATGGCTCATGCCTGTAATCCAAGATGTGATGATTGTGGTTCTAAGCCAGCCCAGGGAAGGAAAACCTATGCAACTCTTATCTCCAATTAATCACGGAAAAAGCTGGAAGGGGAGCTGTGACTCAAGTGTTAGAGTGCTAGCCTTGAGCAAAAGGAGCTCAGGGACAGTGCCCAGGCCCAAAGTTCAAGCTCTAGGATTGGCAAAAAGTAAATAAAAAATAAAATTGAGGAGAGGGATGTAATCCTTGAGAGGGGCTTGTTCCCCAAATCAAAGCAGCCTTTGTTCTCCTAAATCTAGCTCCGTTGAGCTGTTTCTTCCTCAGGAGATAAGAAGGATGTGCAGGAATAGGCCTGGGGCCACAGGGCTGGCCTCTGGTAGGGAGGATCTGGGAACACCTTGAGCCAGAGCCTCTGCAAGTCTCTCTCAAGGCCTGGCTTCTCTCTCTGCGCTGGACAGTGTACAGAAAGCCCTAGAAAGCCCTGGGGACAGGGCCAACCCTGTGAGGGGAGCTGCTGCGTGGGAGGTGGGCACTGGGATAGCTCTTCTTGGGACCAAGATAACACGCAAGCAGTGGCTTTTTGCCCTGGCCAGCCTGGGAGGGGTCAGCTTAGGATAGGCAAGGAGTAAATATAGATCCAGGGAAGGAAGCCAGGCAGCCCAGCCCAGCACTGACCTCTGGCTCAAGGCTGGAGGGGGGGGAGGGTTTGTGCCCCAACACTTTCCTGTCCAGGGTGGGTGACACTGGACCCAGCAAACCTGCAGAACTGCTGGAAGGAGTTGGGACTGGGGACAGAGCCTTCAAAGAGACCAGAATGAGAGCCAATTGAAAGCCAGTCAATAGATACTATTGTGACACTGGGGGATGTAGTTCAATGGTAGAGCACAAATCTCGCATACATGAGGCCCTGGGTTCGATCCCAGTACCACAAGAAAAACTAAAATGAGATAAAGAGGTGTTTTCCTGTATGGTCATCAGAAAGCTGCACTCTTCCCTGGGCTTTCATTTTCTTTAGTGATTGCTATAGAAGGTTCTCCACAGCTTGATAAGAGCTGACTGGTTTACAGGTGCAGAAGTAAGTACAAAGGCAAGGTACCATTCTAAGGGCTTTGTTGATACAGGAGAGGAAAGGTGTCCAGATGAAGTTCATGCCCCTGTACTTTCCCATCCACTGGGGGAGTGGGGAAAAGGCTTGGACTTCTCATGTTTGGGCTTAAAGCCAGATCCAGCCTAGCCATGCTCACCATGTCCATGTGGTCCAACCAAGACCTGCATACCCACCCCCATCCACACTCTGAGAAGGGGAATTCAAGCAAGGTACCATTTTAACACAAAAGAGTTTATTTATTGTTAAAACCTATTCCCAAGCATTGAGGGGGTAGGATGCTAGCAGAGAGGATGACATCCCTCCCTCCCTTCACTTTTCCTTGGCAATGTTCAAGGAGCAGGGGGAGGAAGGGGGAGGGACATGACAACCAAACAATCATCCCCGCTAAGGGTGGGCTCTGCACTGCAAGGCAAATGCTTTACTGATTCTATCTTAGTTAATTCTTACAACACTCCTACAAGGTAGGTACCATTATCATCCCATTTTACAGATGAGGAAACTGAAGTGTAGAATAGTGAAGCATGGTAGGGGGTGGTGGTGCCAGCTTTCAGGGACCCTCTGAAAGCCTTTGTCACCTGCATCCCCAAATCCCATTCCTCACCACTTTCTGTTCTTTCAACTCTTCTTAGGCTTTTGTTTTGTTAAAAAAAAATAGGTTTTGCACATGTTCTTGAGCAGCCACTGTCTCCTACTCCAATGGGTCCAGTCTGGTTCCCCCAGGATTTGGTTTAGATTGGGGTTGGAGACAGTGTGTCTCGAAGCAGGAGCAGTTGAGTACATAAAGCCAAAGTACAATAAAAAGCTCTTAGAAAATACACAATGAATAAATTACAAACTTCCCACCCATCTCTCCCATACCTTCCCGCCCGCCCCCCACCCTCCATTCCCAGCTGATCCAGTGTCAATTCCCTCTATGTATACAAAGGTTCCTTGGGCCCTCAGAAGATAACTGTGGAGTGAATGAATGAGTGGTGAATGAATGAGTGAATGAACGAGTACTTGGTAGGAGGAAGCAAGCACATAGGAGGCCTGAGCCCTCACCTGCACCTGGTCCTCACCAGAACGACCTCCCTGGCTGCAGAGGGTTTCAAGGTGGGCTTGGTACAGAGACATGAGGGAGGGGTCAGCAGGGACATTCTGAGCAGGGAAGGCAGAGGGTGGATAGAGGACAGGGCTGTCCTAATCAGAAGTCCAGGTCGAATACCAGCGATATGGCCTGGTAGCTGTGTGACCGTGGGTGGGCTGGAAGGTGAACAGTGAGTTCTGCAAAATTCTTTCAGACAAAGCACTTTTCACATTTAGCTTTGGTCCTCAGGGACCCCTCTGTATGCCAAATGTTGCTATCACCATTTTATAGAAAAGTCAGGAGAGGTCAAGGACTTGCCCAAGGTCACATAGCCAGCCAGAAGTTGAACGCCCTTCCACCCTCTACTTTCACCACTGTCCGTGTCTCTGTGCCCATGGGACATGAGACCCCTGCATGGCAGTGTGGCAGCATGAGAATCTGTAGGCTTAATTCCCTGATGTGGCACCCTGGCCATCTTCAGCCAGAAGAGCCAGGGTACCCTTGACCCCCCATCCTTCCCTACCCACAGCCGTGGGGTCTGGGAGTCCATGAGATGCTCATGAACTACCTTGCCTGGGAGGGTGAGGATGGAGAATGGTTGGGGGCAGCCTGTGCCACCCCTCACACAGGCATGGGCACTTCGTCATATTCATCCCGACCATCCTCTTCATCAAAGGTTGGATTAGTGTCATCTCCGTCCAGCTGGAGGGGCAGGAGGGAGACAAGGTGAGACATTGGTTCGCTTCGAACCTTGGACAAGCCTAATATGGCTCCTCAGACTATAGAGGTGGTCTCAAAAAGGAGGGGGGACAAGGAGACCCTGGGGATCTGGCATCCTAGCCAGCAAGGGACCTTTTTACTACAGTAGCCCCACATTGATTCTGTCTCAAATGATCTGGAAGCCAAGTGCTGGTGGCACAAGCCTATAATCCTAGCTACTCAGGGGGCTGAGATCTGAGGATCATGGTTTGAAGCTAGCCCAGGCAGGAAAGTCCATGAGATGCTTATCTTCAATTACCCAGCAAAAAGTTGAAAGTGGAGCTGTGGCTCAAGTGATAGAGCACCAGCCTTGAATGGAAAAAGCCAAGCAAACACATAGAGCCCTGAGCTTGAGCCCCCGTACAGATACATATACACAAAGTAGTCAAATGATCCTCAAGCCGGGCCCTGGTGGCTCACACCTGTAATTCTACCTATTCAGGAGGATGAGATCTGAGGATCAAGGTTCAAAGCTAGCCTGGGCAGGAAAGTTCATGAGACTCTTTTTTTTTTTTTTGTCAGTTGAGGGGCCTGAACTCGGCCTAGGCACTGTCCCTCAGCTCTTCAGCTTAAGGATAGTGCTTTACCACTTAAGCCACAGCACCACTTCCGGCTTTTTCTGCTTATGTGGTGCTAAGAAATCGAACCCAAGGCCTCATGTATGCAAGGCAAGCACTCTACCACTGAGCCACCTTTAGCCACTAGAAAACTGGAAGTAGCCGGGTGCTGGTGGCTCACGCCTGTAATCCTAGCTACTCAGGAGGCTGAGATCTGAGGATCTCGGTTCAAAGCCAGCCCGGGCAGGAGAGACCATGAGACTCCCATCTCCAATAAACCACCAGAAAACTGGAAGTGGCGCTGTAGCTCAAGTGGTAGAGCACTCGCCTTGAGCTGAAGAGCTGAAGGACAGCGCCCAGGCCCAGAGTTCAAGCCCCACGGCCGACCAAAAAAAAAAAAAATAGAAAACTGGAAGTGGCACTGTGGCTCAAGTGGTAGAGCGCTAGCCTTGAGCTGAAGACTTAGGGACAACACCCAGACCCAGAGTTCAAGCCCCATGATTAACCAAAAAACAAAAAAACCCCAAAAAACCCCAGGAGCAGCCACTGGGTATTGGAATAGCTTCCGTGGAACAAAGCCTGTGTGCCTTTTTTTTTTTTTTGCTAGTCTCAGGGCTTGAATTCTGGGCTTGAGCCTTGTCCCTGAGCTTTTGTGTTCACTTTATCACTTGAGCCACAGTACTTCTGGCTTTTTTCTGAGTAGTTTATTAGAGATAAATGTCTCACGGACTTTCCTTCCCTGGGTTGGCTTTGACCTCAGATCTCAGCCTCCTGAGTAGCTAGGATTCCAAGTGTGAGCCACCAGCTTCCAGCCCTGTGCGCCTCTTAATGTTGTTATAAACACTGTCATTATTCTTCTCTGTTACTGGTGGGGCTGCTTGCCTCTGATAATATGCTAGGACATAGCAGGTCAAGAGTGGACAGGTCTTTTACCCAGACCCTTTGTTCATGTGTGCGTGCTTGCTTGTGCACGTGTGTGTGTGTGTGTGTGTGTGTCTGTGTGTGTGTGTGTGTGTGTGTGTGTGTGCATGCTAGCTTGGCTTTTTCACTCAAGACTGGTGCTCTATCATTTGAGTTACATCTTCACTTCTGGCATTTTTTTTTTTTTTTGCTGGTTAATTGGAAATAAGAGTCATAAGAGCCTCCCAGTTTTGCCTGACTGCCTGACTTTAAACCCAATCCTCAGCCCACCCACACATTCTCTCAGGCCCTCTGCTGTCCCTTCCCTGCTCCAGCTTGTAGGAGGCCCCGTCTCCTCCCTCCACCCCTCCTCCTTCCTCTCTCTTTCTCCCTCTCCCTTCCTCCCACTCAGGCCCAGGCTGCCACTTACACACTGGAGCTCCAGCTTGCTAAAGATGAAGGGCAGCAGGAAGCGCCGCAGGGGCACAGTGAGGATGAGGATGAAGGGCAGCGCCAGGGAGAGTGCTGAGGATTTCACCCCCCACAGCATGGCCAGACAGATGATCTGGATACCCGTGAACAGGTGCATGCGCCAGGTCCTCACCTGTGGGTGGTCGGGGGCCTGGGGTCAGTGCCTGCCCTGCTTCTGAACCCTCATCCTCACCCCATCCCTGGGTTATGCCACCAGCAGGGCTCTGTACCCGCTTGACGAAGGGCACATCCGGGTGGTACTTGGCTGGTTTCAACAGCAGCAAGATGCGGTCAAAGAGCTGGATGCCACTGAGAGATGTGACCCCCATGTAGAGGAAGATGCCAAACAACACCGCCAGGGGGATGCGGGACAGGATGGGCTCCATGAGGATGGATAGGCCTGTGGGGAGGACCACACATTCAGCCCCAGCTCACCTGGAGAACTAGCACCTCCAGGACTGGGGATATTTGGGGATGGGAATAAAACTACCCATACCGAGTGGCTTTTTAAATTTACTGTGAGTATGGTTTCCCTCCCCCTCTCCCCCCCTTGGATTGAACCAAGGGCCTCAGGCTTGGCCTCTACCATTTGAGCCACACCCAAGTCCCTTTGTTTTTGTTTCTGAGACAGTCTCCCTACTAATTTGACTCAGGCTGTCTTTGAATTTACAATCTTCCTGCTTCTACCTTCGGAGTACCTGGGATTATAGGCTTAGGCCATGGAGCACAGCTGTGAGTCATCCTAATGGGCAACATCCCCTTCATTTTACACTTGAGGAATGAGGCTCGCAGAGGTAAACAGCCTGCTAAGGCCACAAATTGGCAAAAGAGTCAATGCTTGCCCGCCTAGAGACTATTTCCTTAATCTACAGAGGTCAGAGAAAGCCAGCCAGTCCAAAATGCCTCCAATGCTCTCTACCTATCCAAATTCTAATCCTTCTCCCAGTCTTACCAGTTTTACTTCCTTTAAGGAACTTCCCTGGGACAGGGGGTAATAGAGAGGAGTGAGAAAAGAGAGGAGAGCAAGCAGGCACACACACACACACACACACACACACACACACACACACACGGTAATAGAGAGGAGTGAGAAAAGAGAGGAGAGCGAGCAGGCACGCGCGCACACACACACACACACACAGAGAAAGAGCTTGCAAGTGAGTACCCAGCTGGACAATATTGCTCTATAACTGGGATGGAGCAATAACTCTGGCTTCTACCCTCCCTCTCCCCCAGACTGCACCTAAAGCATCACCTCTTCCTCTTGTTAGCCTTAGAGCAGAAAGACAACCCAGAGGCATCTAAACAGCCCCTATAACTGCAGACAGGAAAGCAGAGGCAGAGACCAGGTAGGGTGCCAAGCTAGCAGTAGGGCAGGGTAGGACCCTGAATCATTGCATGGTTGCATAGGCTCAGATACAGGGTCTGGCTAGAGAATGCTCAGGACGCTGGTTCCTCCTCCCTGCTCAGACGTCTATCCCAGGACTAGGGTACTTCCTCCAAGGGATTAACTGATATTGGGGAAAGGTGGACATTGGTGTGTGCATAAATATGACAGGAAAGGACCCTGGATTCCATGGTCAAGGCCTATGAGGGGACAGGGCTAGCTCTCTTACCCACAAGCACCGAGACCAGGAGCCCGCTGATTCGCTGCTCCTTCACCTCCTGGATCTGAGCTGAAGCCCCTGGGGCACTGGCCTTGCCCATGACGGTGAGGGCATTGGCGTGGGTGACAGAACGCACGGTGGTGGCGCTGAGCCAGGGCATCCCAAAGAGGGCAGCTACCCCGCCCATGCCCACCACCAGCAGCAGATCCAAGTGAAAGCCAGAACCCTTGATCAGCTTCCTCTCAGGTTTGCTGATGATCAGCCTGGGAAGAGAAGGAAGTTCAGTAAGCCCCCACTTCCTTGGCCCTTCCTTCCTTCCCCACACTGAGAACCCTCTGCAGTTCAGGGATTTTTTTTTCTTTTTCTGCTGGTCCTGGGATTTGAACTCAGGGCCTGGGTGTTGTCCCTGAGCCTTCCTGCTCAAGGCTAGCACTCTACCACTTGTTCCACAGCTCCCCTTTTGGCTTTTTAGTGGTCAATTGGAGATAAGAACCTCATAGATTTTCCTGCCTGGGTTGGCTTCAAACTGTGATCCTCAGATCTCAGCCTCCTGAATAGTTAGGATTACAGGCATGAGCCACTGGCACCCAGCCTACACCTCAGTTTTGCCTACTGAGACCATTGCCTGTTGAGTTTCTGGCTCATTTGGTCCCTCCTGAGAGTGTGGACTCTGGAAAGAAATGTCTAGAATACCTACAGGCAGGTTTGCCAAAACAACAGAAACTTAGCTTCAAAATTTTCCAACATAAACCCCTTCTAAGATCCAGTCCCTATTTTCATAGTTCTTATTTGTATATTGGCTCAAAAAAGGATTCTTCAGGGCTGGGAAGGTGGCTCAGTGGTAGAGTGCTTGCCTTGCATGCATGAGGCCCTGGGTTCGATTCTTCAGCACCATATAAGCAGAAAAAGCTGGAAGTGGCACTGTGGCTCAAGTGGTAGTGTTAGCCTTGAGCTGAAGAGCTGAGGGACAGTGCCCAGGCCCAGAGTTCAGGCCCCACGACTGACAAAAAAAAAAAGGACCCTTCAAATTATATTTCTTTAATGCCACAAAATCTGAACTTGTTCCTGATGGTCCATCACTCCTGCTAGTAGTGTGGTTGCTTGCTTGCCTCTTTCCCTGTCCCCCGTCCCTGACCCAGTCCCCACCAGTGCTCTTACGTGGTGATCTGAGACTCCAGGAATATAAGGATGAAGACCAGCAGGGCAGGTAGGGCTGAAGCAAACATCATCCAGGTTGGGAACACATGGTACAGGCCCAGTGGGTGGATAATCCAGCCCCGGGCTGAGGAGTTAGACACCTTAAGACCATCAGGCACTGAGAGTTTCTGTAGAAGGAGGCCGCTGGTGAGAACAGCAAGGCAGGGGGAGCCAGAGACATGGCTCAGGGACTTAGAAGGATGCTTTAGAGCTTACTTATATTATGTACTTTCTGTGTACTCAGTCAGTATGCTAAGCCCTTTGCTTATGTCTTCTCATTCCCAACTTTATACATGAGGAAACAGTATCAGAGAAGTTATATACCTTGCCCCACATCATACAGCCTTTTGGTGGCAGAGCTGAGGTTCATACCCAGATCTACCTGGCTCAAAGCAGACCCCCTGCTTCCTTGGGCTAAGGAGTAAAAGGAGAAACCTGTTCCAGCCTCTTGATTTGACCAGAGGGAGAAGAGCATGGGCCTCTTAGGAAAGGCAGAGATGGGGTAGACGTAGTTACAGCTAGAGTTCAGGTTGAGGAATGTTATTATGAGGAGAAGACATGCTACAGGAAGAAAATGAGAAGGGGAGGCTCTTAGGGAGAGGACTAGAAAGAGAGGTCACCTGGGTGTAGGTGTTCTTGGTGAAGGAATCTACCAGAACCATGATCAGGATGGCGATGGGGACCCCAAAGTCCCCGATGACTCGACGCAACTGGGGACAGATGAAGAGAGCAACAATCAGTACCTAGTTCTTGCTTCTCACCTGTCTTCTCTCCTGCTCCACATTCACGCAGGGGGTTGGGCTCTTCCCAAGGGATGTGTCAGCAGGCAATGGTCTCTTCTGGCCTCAACTATATTTGCCTCTCTTCTTCCTCTGGCTCAAACCCATTTGGTCCCATACTCCTCCCCTTCTTAAGAATTGTTCCCAGTTCTCTGGTGGGTTTCAACTTGGACATACTGAACAACATATGGAGGAGATTGGCCTGCCTATTGAGAGGACCCTGGGCAAGGAGGGAGACAGGAGACTTGGCATCAGGAATGGGGACCTGGGGCAAGAAAAGTAGCTAAGGTCTCTGAAGAAGCTGCAGTGGGGTTGGGACTGGGATAGTACAGCATAAGCAAGGATAGATGGGCAGGAATGCTCACCTTGCCAGGGAAGTAGGAGCTGTTCTTGAACTTGCGCAGCATCATGGCAAGTAAGAAGGTGCCAGCCATGAGCACAAGGGAGAAGAGGGCTGTGTTAGGCAAGGAGCCCTGAGGGCTGGGCTTTATCGCAACTGGGGTATAACTCTCCTGAAGAGGGTGTTTCTTGAAGATCTGCAGCAGAAAATAAAGGCATCTTGTTCCTTGGGCTTGGGCTGAAAGTGTCAGATAAAGTTATCTAGCACTACCATCCATCCATCCATTCCTAAATGCTTTCTCCATTCATCCATGCATCTATCCATCCATCATCCATCTATGCATATACCCATTCATTCATCTGTCCATCATTAAAGGGGGTTCATCATCCATCCATCCATTATCTCCTTCAACTGACATGGTAACAGAGGTGCTTTTACAGTTTGGTTTTAGGGATGAAGACCTCATGAATGGGGTGGGCCAATGACACAATGAGCATATGTGAGTGTACCCATGTGCACCCAGGGCTTGGGGGAACATGAGAAAGCTGGAAGACAGGAATACCTGATAAGGTTTCTAAGTTGGGTGTTGGTGGCTCATACCCGTAATCCTAACTACTCAGGAAGCTGAGATCTGAGGATCATGGTTCAAAGCCAGCCCCAGCCTGGGCAGGAAAGTCTGTGAGACTCTTATCTCCAATAAACCACCAGGAAACGGGAAGTGGCGCTGTGGTTCAAGAGGTAGAGCGCTGGCCTTGAGCTGAAGAGCTCAGGGACATCACCTGGGCCCAGAGTTCAAGCCCCATTATGGACAAAAAAAAATCTGGAAACAGAGGGGCCCACCAATCAACAGAATTAAGGGGATATACAGAATCTACCCCTCTTCTGCAAATGCAGAGGCTGGCATAGCTCCTGGAGACAGTAAGCAAGCTAAACAGCCAGGAGCTCTGGTGGGTTCTTGAAGTCAGTGCAGGGGAGGGACGGGGCCTCTGAGCCTCAAAGCACCCACAGTCCTGGCTGCAACTGCAGTTTCTCACATCATCTTGTACATGTACCAGGCTGCCAGTTATAGACATGGACACATGCACACAGGGCCTTATGTGTTATCCTTCTGTACAGTCATGGCACACACATGGTAACAAAACCTAGATGCACAGTTTTGTGTGCCAATGAATGAGCATACCGGTACACAGCCACATCAGTGCTGTCCAGACACAGACAATAATGCACACAGTTGTGTGGTCTTGTACACCATTGCACATGTGCATTGGCGACCTCTGGGGTTCTTACCTGGATCAGCTTGGAGAAGGTCTCATAGATGAAGATGAGGGAGATGAGGAAGGAAAAGATCTCCTGAGTGTAGCGGGAGATGAAGCGGACCAGGAAGCTCCCCTCAAAGGCCACCACTAGCACTACCAGCAAGATGAGCCAGAAGCCGATCCATGCACGGCCCACGATGTATTCCAGGTTGCGGCGCTCACAGAACTGTGCGCAATCAGAGGGCGTCCAGTCAGACATAAAGGACAGGTGGGCCAGGGTTGCTATAGGATTAGGGTTGGAGTAGGGCTGGGAGACAGTGCTACCGAGAAAAAGGCCTCCTCGAACACCAGCAGGGGTCCTGAGAAGCCAACCACGAGCAAGGGCTGAGCCCCTAGTAAGGAGAAGAGAATGCCCTGCACCGCAGTGGAGATGAGCAGTTCTGATACTCCCATCTGGTTCTGGGTCTTTTCTCCTGTGGGAAGAGGTCACAGTTGGGGTCAAGATCAAGAGGTTATTTCCCAGGACCAAAAAGAACAAGTCCTGGGCAGGCTGATGGAAAGGGTCCTAAAGGTAAGAGGTGAGAATTGGAGCTGGGACGGGGGGGGGGGGGGGGAGTCATTGGCACTGACCCAGGAGGCCGCCGAAGGTGATGGCAGGTGACAAGGCAGCAAAGTAGATGAATATGACAGCAGCCAGGACCTGGGGGCTGAGCGCATCGGTGATGTCACTTAGGTAGTAGGGGTAGCGGCGCCGGATGTCTCGCACCAGACCTCCAAAGAATTGGCCTGTTCGCTTCAGAGGGTCATCAGGGCCACCAGGAACCCCCGGGCCCCCATTCAAGTCTGTGGTAGAGGTAGAGGGTAGAAACTGTCAAAGGGGGTTAATGGGAATGGGGTAGCCAAGGGGGTTGCGAAGCTAGGATTCAGGGAGAGGATTTAGGAGGTGAGTTTTTTTGTTTGTTTGTTTTTGTGTCTGTGACGGGGCTTGAACCCTGGGCCTGGGCACTGTCCCTCAACTCTTCAGCTCAAGGTGAGCACTCTACCACTTGAGCCACAGCGCCACTTCTGGTTTTCTGGGGGTTTATTGGAGATAAGAGTCTTGTAGACTTTCCTGCCTGGGCTGGCTTTGAATCGCAGTTCTCAGATCTCAGCCTCCTGAGTAGCTAGGATTACAGGCGTGAGCCACTGACAACTAGCAGATTTAGGAGGTTTTTGATGGGGAAAAGGGAACCATGCTTAGATTGCTGAGGCGCTTCGGGGGACCCAGGAAGCCTTGACCTGGTAGGGCAGGTACCTAGACCCTTGTAGAAGCTGGGGTCCAGCTTGGCAGGGCTGGGCAGGTAGCGTCTTCGAAGCAGCTCTTTCTGCACGGGCACTAGGCTGAGGAGGGCTTGCTCAAAGGACGTGTCGGTGGGAGGCAGTACCAGGCTGCAGTCCAGAAAGCCCTCCAGGGAATGCACCAGCTCCCCCCGACTCTGGGCCAGGTAGGCATTTGTGCGGAATACCTGAGGGCAGGAGAGAGGGACGGGATACAGGCATGTATGGCCACAGTGTCCAGAGATCAGAATCCTACCACTGAGCTATCATTGGAAGGACTGGGTCACATTGCTCCCATTGCCCCCGTCTACCCTCTCTGCCCTCCAAGGAAGGATCTTGGGGAGTCAGCCAAGCCCAGGGTGGAGAGAAGAGAAGGCTAAAGCAAACCTAGTGAGTTATTCACCCCAGACTAGCAAACAGGGCCAACCTAAATCAGACAAACCAGTGGGAACTGGATTAGAATGGGCTAGGGTTGGAATAGGCCAGACTAGACCAGCCAGATCAGCACAAACCAGCCTAAACCAGTCCAGGCCATACTGAGCTGGGCCAGCCACAGCTGAACTAGAGCTGTGTGAGTGAGAATAGGTCCAACTAATGAACTAAAGTAAGCCAGGCCAGGTGAGCTGGAGAACAAACAACCTTGGCTCCCCTTCGGCTCCATGCCTCCCCAGGCCTCACTGGCTCCTCTCACCCTTTCTGTCATGAGGGTAGCAGCAGCCCGGCCCAGCTGGTTGTAGTCAAGGTTGGGGGCCTCCGGTCCCAGCAACACAAAGAGGAAGCGTACAGGCTGGGGAAACTCCAGGTCCTCTAGCTTTCCGGCCTCCTGGAGCCGAACAAAGCCCAGCACTGGGCGCTCCAGGAAGGCAGCACGACCTGTGTATGGAGGGTAGGGTGGAATGAGAAGGTCAAGCCAGGCTCAAGGGGCTTCAGGGCCCAGGCACAGGGGAAGTCAGGCAGGGCCAGGATACAAGGCAGAGGCAGGAGTGTGGAGGTAGACACACTAGCTCTTACCCACAAGCACCAGGGTGGTCTCTGAATTTGGAGGAATCTTTTCCAGAATTCTAGATGGTGAGTGCCCTTCAGAGCCCCCATCTCCCTGTGGGAAGGAGCGTGGTTTGAGGAGTCCTTGGGCCTCCTCCAGACCCAGGAGACCAGAGCATCCAGCCCCTTCCTCTCCTTGGCCTCACCTTCTCACAGTAAAGTTTTGTCTCCAGCGAGGGCTGTTGGGGGAGCAATGGTTGAGAAGGGTCCCCAGAACGCATCAGGACGGCTGGCTTTACCCCCTCCAGAGCCTTCAGGTCTTGGGCATGGCTGTGGGGCACACAGGGGTTATGAGCTAAGTAAGCTACTCAGGCTGGGCTGTGGTACAGACTAGCAGTGAGGGACTTAACGTAGAACTTCCTAGTGACTAAACCCTTCTTTCTCTCCCTCCTTCCCTCCCTTCCACCCCCTCTCCTTTCTTTGTTTTCAAATAATTTATTTATTATTTATGGTGCCAGTACTAGTGCTTGAAAACTCAGTGCCTTGACACAATCTTTTAGGCTTTTTGTTGTTTTGTTGCTGTTGTTGTTTGATGAAGGCTGGTATACTACCACGCGAGCCATAGTTCATTTCCAGCTTTCAGCTGGTTAATTGGAGATTAAACCACAATTCTCAAATCTCAGCTTCTTGGGTAGCTAGGATTACAGGCATGAGCTACCAGCATCTAGTCAAAGGCCTTCGCTTAAAGGACACCATGGATGTAAGCAGGTGGTGTCTGTCTGAAATAGCTAGGTGGGATTAGAAGAATGGGGTGGGGGGAAATGGCCTGAAGGGTCTGCCCTCCTCAACATGGAGATGTGTCATCTCTTGTGAAGTGTCAGAGGTTGGAGCTGTGGTGGAGGAAAAGTGGAACCTTTGCTTGCTGGGTCTAAGGAGAAACTAGGAGACATGTGATGGTAGAGGACTCAGGAGGAGCCCTGTGAGATGTGGAGCCCATACCTGCGTTTGAGCAGCAGGGTCCGGAGCAGCTGCTCACGGTCCTGAGGCCGGATCTGTTCATCATAGATGAAGCTGTCCAGCAGCTGGTTGGCCACGCCAGCCAGGGAGGTCTCCTGAAGGTCCAGGAGGACGGTGCCTAGAGGGGACCAGCAGTGAAGGGGTGAGCAAGGTGGCTGCACTGAGGCTACCCCAACCTGTCTTCCGATCCAATGGATCTCACCTTTGGCAAAGGCCTTCTGCAGCTCCAGGAGACTCCAGAAGGTGAGATAGGGCAGGTGTGGGCGACCCCAAGCCCCATCCTCCCCAAGGTTCTCCTCCAGCCCCATCCAGTGCGCCACCTCCACCCACTGCAGCTCCTGATTCTTCTGGTCCATCACCAGTTCCTGCATCTCTACGTAAGCCTGAGGACAACAGTAGGACATGGGGCGACTGAGACCCCAGGGACAGCTCTGGAAAAATGCTTGTAAAGGCTCAGGGCCCTGGAGAGATTGCAGCAGACACTAACCTCAGCTTATCAGACATGTGCCAGGCTCCCGTGTGAGGCTCCATTCCCCATTTCTCACCAGGCCCTTACCCCAATTCAGTAGGGGTATGGAGAACTTCCAGACCATAACGAGCCTACAGACTCAGCCCTCAGCATTCAGTCTGTCCACCCAGGGAGCTTCCTTGAAGGGGCTCTGGTCTCTTCCCTAGTGAGTAAGTCCTCTTCTTTCCCACCTCTTTCCCCAAGACCCCTTCTCCATTTCTACCTCTTTGTGGGGTCTCCTCCAACCTCACTCTGACTCTGCTCCTCCCCTGCTATTTCTGCTGGTAGAATACTGAGTCCCAAAAGTAGCCTGGGAAAGGGAATGGCTAGGGGTAGAGGGATGGATCCTCACCTCAAGGGAACTTGGGTGCGATGTGGCAGAGGTGGCCGGGATGTAGTCTGTAGCTGTTGGCTCAGTGGGAAGAGCTGAAAATCCAAAGTCGGTTAGTGTTGCCCCAGACATCGCCTCTCCCCCTCAGACTCCCCCACAGAAAAGTCTCAGAGACCCAGGCCCATTGCCCTATGGCTGTGACCCTGGTACCAGACTCCACCCTGCCACACACAGAGGATTGTGGCTCTCTACACCAGCTCTGATCCTCATCTGCCTCCATCATTCCCCATCCAAGTCTTGTTGAGGTCCCCTGGGATGGATGGGAAGAGAGAGCCCCCAGTCATAGTGATCAGTAGCATCCTAGGGTCCCTTCCCACCTCGGGAGCCAGACTTTGTTTCCTCTTCCCACCTGCCTGGACAAGCCACTAAGCCAGGTAACCTCTCACCAGACACCAGAGTGGGGGTGAAACCCTTATATCTCTCTACCCCCCCATACCACACCCTCATTTCCCAAAGGAGCCTCTTAACTCTAAAATCTATTGCTAGCACTTGAGTCTTGTTGACAGTAAGCAGGTCCCCGCCCAGGGCTCCCCACCTAAGACCTTGAACAAGCCGAGGAAGGTGGCATGGGTTCTTGAGGTCTTTCTGCTCAGGGGGAGGGGGCTATAGAATGGGACTTTCCATCCCATTTCTCATGTCCCTCAGCCCCCAAGACACGATCATGTTCCCAGTCCACCTGGCCTAGAAGCTGGCATTGGATGGGCTTGGGTGGCAGGTGGGTACCTGCCCTTGTCCCAGACGGGCCTGGCTGCCCTCTCACACGTGATAAGGGCACTGGCCCTGCCTTACCCCTCCCCCCCCAGCTCCTCCTGTGATCATTTCAAACAAATGCTGTTTACTCTTCAGTCAGCCAAGATTGTTGGAGAGTTAGCCATGGGACTGGGATTCTGGCAAAGGGGAGGGTGATCACCATTGTCTCTTCAAGGCTCAGCAGCTCTCTGGGCAGAGAGCAGAGGGTGGGAGATAGAGCTCACCCTCAGGCTCCACCTGTTGCACAGAGATGCCTGGATCCTCATACTCCTCTTGTTCTAGAATCTTCTCCAGTGCTTCTTCACTGTCCTCCTGCTCTGGGATCTCCACCACTTCTTCATAGTCCTCCTACGGGAAGTGACTATCAAGCCTGGGCTGCAGGGGTCCTTGTACGCCCAGGAAAGTGATCATCCAAAGAGAGAGAGAGAGGGAGAGAGAGAGAGGGAGAGAGAGAGCTCCCAGAGCCCCCAGTGAGGAGCCCTGCAGAGGCCAGGAAGAACATACCTGCACATCCCCCATGGCGCTGTCCTGAGTGTCCACTTGTCCACGTCAATCTGAGCCCCCAGCATAACCCGCTCCTCGGGTCCCTGAAGGGGACAGACATAGGCTGAGTAAGATCTAGGGGTCTCCCAGTCTTTCCTGAAGGGGCAATGTTTCAGTGGCAGGAGAACATAGAGATGGAAACAGCGGGGTGAGAGGAAGACAGTGGGGGTAAGGGTCAGGTGTAGATATTCAGGCAGGGGTGCAGGGGCTGGGAGATGGATAGCAAAAGGCAGAGGAAACATGGCAGGCATCCACCTAAATGTGTTTAGGAGAGGAGATGAATGGCACTGCAGCCAGCTCCATGCTCCATCCACCGCCTCTCACCTGACTTCTTCCCCTGTCCATCCCCAGGAATCGGGCAGGGCATGACCTGTCCCCTCTGCGTGGTTCTGACTCCCCGAGGGCCGCCATAACACACACTCTTCTCCCAGAAATGGCTGCATCCCACTGGGCATATGAACCTGTTTCTCTCCCATTCCATTTTGAACCCTATCTTCCTTCCTTCCTTCCTTCCTTCCTTCCTTCCTTCCTTCCTTCCTTCCTTCCTTCCTTACTTCCTTCCTTCCTTCCTGTTGGCTTGCTTATGGTTCCTACAATTTGCCAAGCCATTTCTTGCCCCAGGGTCTTTGCATATCCGGCTTTCCACACCCTGGATGCTCCTTCTGCCTTTCTTTTACTTTGTATGTGAAATCAGGACTTGAACTCAGTACCTGATGCTTTGTTCATTGGCTGATGCTCTACCAACTGAGCCACACCTCTAACCCCAGCTCTCTTCTCATCTCAGCTTAAATGTCACCTCCTCACAGGCCCTCCCTGATTACCTAATGTTCACTAACTCAGTTTCTGATTTCTTGATTGATTTGTAAAAATATGTTGCCTGACAAATCCTTTGGAAGAGAAGCCATAGGAGTGCAAAAAGACCCTGCATGACATTGTCCTGGTGGGGTTTCCACACCTAACCAAGTGTTTACCACAAAATAAATGTTCATCAAGTATTTCTCTTTTTTTTTTTTTTTTGGTCGGCCGTGGGGCTTGAACTCTGGGCCTGGGCGCTGTCCCTCAGCTCTTCAGCTCAAGGCGAGCGCTCTACCACTTGAGCTACAGCACCACTTCCAGTTTTCTGGTGGTTTATTGGAGATAGGAGTCTCACAGTCTCTCCTGCCCGGGCTGGCTTTGAACCTCGATCCTCAGATCTCAGCCTCCTGAGTAGCTAGGATTACAGGTGTGAGCTACCGGTGCCCAGCATGAAGTATTTCTTGGATGAATCTGTTCTCCCTATTGGCTCCCCATTGCAGGTTTGGGGTCTGGGGAATTATAATGGCCAGGAACCATCCTGGAAGGCCATTGTGCCCTGGGCCTCTGTTTTCTCAGTGGGTCCCTAGTAGAGAGAAGATATGGCCACCCTGGAACGTGAGGACCTGAGGGTCAGGTCATCAAATGCAGCCTCTCTGTTGAGTGTAGGAGTCAGAGATACAAAAAGCATGTCCCAGAAGGACACCGGTGGCTCATACCTGTAATCCTAGCTACTCAGGAGGCTGAGATCTGAGGACTGCAGTTCAAAGCCAGCCCAGGCAGGGAAGTCTATGAGACTCATCTCCAATTAACCACCAAGAAACTGGAAGTGATGCTGTGGCTCCAGTGGTAGACCCTTGCCTTGAGCTGAAGAACTCAGGGACAGCACACAGGCCCAGAGTTCCAGCCCCATAACTAACCCTCCCCCCCCCAAAAAAAGCATGCCACAATGCTCAGGAAGCCCCTAGCCCTAGCTGTGTAGTAAACCAAGAGGCCAGACCGCCTAAGTGGTTCCATAGATGAAGGTAGATGGGAGATGGCATGTTCAGATAGGCAGAGAGCAGCGGGTAGAGGCACAGGACAGAGCAGAATGGGCAGAGGCTGGGAAGCAGAGTCATGCAGGAAGGGCTGGGAACCATGTGAAGTAGAGCAGGGAGAACATTCAGGAATAGGTGGGCTTGGCCCAGTCTCTCCCTCACCCCCACCTCAAATGGCAAATGACAGTCATGGGAGCATGCCCAGCCCTGAGAATGAGGCCAACCCTGTACATCAGTTTTGTCTTTGGGAACTCTTGGTCACACACGTTTTTTCTCCCTTTCCCCCTTTTCTGTCATTTTCATCCGAACCCAAAGGCCCGACCCTGCTCCCATTCTCTGCTCGCATCTTTCTTTTCTCTCTCTCTCTCTCTCTCTCTTTCCTTTTCTGGACTTTCCCATGCAGTCTCCAGGGCCTCAAATCCTTGATGACCCTAAGGGTGTCAAAGCAATGGCAGCACCAGGGAATGCAGAGTTCCAGGCTGCTTTCCTGGCTCTGACTGGCTAAGTGGTGTTGGGCAGCTGCTAGTCTCTCTCCAGGCTTGTCACTCATCTGTCAGATGCAAGGTCCTTCCCGCCCTAGCTCTGAGCACTCAGAGAGAGAGGACCAGCTGGGCCTGGGAGGTGTGCCCAGGCCCAGATTGCTGTAGGCCTTGCTGGGCCTGGTACTGATAAGAGTGCACCTCCTTCCCCCACTCTTCCCCCCCAATGCTTGGAAGCACACCAAATACTTAGAGCCACCAGCCGAGCAGGCCGGATAAGGGAGAGCAGGGCATGCAGAGCCCAGGAGATGGAGCACAGCTGGGCAGAGCCTGGATGGAGGGGCGTCATATGACATCTATCTTCTGAGGGGCCTCAGAGGATAGGAAACTCCCTGGTGGCATCACATCTTTTTTTTGGTGCACTGAGGATTGAACTCAGGACCTCGTACTTGCTAAGCTATACCTCCAGCCTCCATAGCATCATCTTTGTGGGAGAAACCCACCTCCTCTCACAATCCCTAAACCAGTCTGGAAGGTGGACAATGTCCGTAGCTCTGTTTTACAGATGAGAACTTGGAGGTTCAGAGAGGACTGCCTGCCTCAGTGGCCCAGTAGGCAGCTGTCAGAAGGTGAAGCCCTGGCCTAGGATGCTAGACATTTGTCTAGCCACTGTGCTGAGTTGCCCCCTAGAAACTAATTCTTTTTTTTTTTTTTGGATCAGGTCGTGAGGCCTGAACTCTGGGCCTGGGCGCTGTCCCTCAGCAATTCAGCTCAGGCTAGCGCTCTACCATTTAAGCCACAACACCACTTCGGGCTTTTTGCTTTTTGCTTATGTGGTGCTGAGGAATGGAACCCAGGGCCTCATGCATGCAAGGCAAGCGCTCTACCACTGAGCCACCTTCCCAGCCCTAGAAACTAATTCTTAACTGTGCTTTCCTGTTAATAATTATGAACATGAGCTCGGGTTCCAATCCCAGCCCTGCCATTAATGAAGTGTGTGGCATTAGGTTTGTGACACAACCTCTCTGTTTTCTCATTTTTTGCAAAGGAGAAACTAAGATTATTAACAGTTATTCCTACCCCATTGACCTATTGTGTTTAGCACAGTGCTCCAGTGCATAAAGTCTCTGAGCAAATGTCTGCTGTCATTATCCTTGACACTGAGGTCACCACCAGGCTTGCTGACTTCACCCGCCCCATACCCCCAATTTGCTATGGAATTAGCCTGAGTTAGTGCTTTGCAATCCTTAAGCAGTGGGCAGCTTCTTCCCCTCTAAATTTTCGCTGGCCTGGGGACAGTTCCAGAATCCTCCCCCCCCCATATACACCAGGGAGACCTCGGGGAGGGTCCCAGAGGGGAAGCAATGTTGGTTGTTATCTTTTATCCTAAGTGAGAGAGGAGGGGATAGCCTGGGGATCCTCATACCGGGGGGGAAATGGGGTCTGGGTGAATAAGACCTGAATCTGAGGGACCCTAGGGACCAGTAGAGAGACACCAGCTGGGACCCACATCTGGGTCAGATCTTCCCCCATTCACACACTGCCATACACACCTCTCTTGCATGAGCCTCTACCACCCCCTTGACCCCTGCTGCAGGTGCCGATGGGCCTGAGCCCTGAGGGGCACTGAACTCATATCCCATTCCTGTCCCTCCCACCCACCTGTACCCCCTTGGAGGCCAAAGGCCACTTGGACCTAGGTGCATGCAGGCTAGTCACCTGCACAAACCCTCCGGACAGGTGCCAAAGGACCACCCAGCCCCTCCCTGCCCTTCCCACCTGTTTAGGAGCCTGGAGGTCTCTCAGCAAGGTCCTGCAGCTACCAGTGCCCTCTGTCACCAGCTGAGCTCTCAGCCACTCTAACAGCACAGGCTGAGCTCCAGCACCTGCCTGGGGGCAGCTCCAAACCCCTGACTCATGCCCCCGCCTCCTAATCTGCCCGCCCCACAGCCCCAAGCCCCTTCCCAATCCACACCCCATTCCCTCAGGGTGCCCCATAAACAGACTTATCTCTCACCCACATCTGGACAGCTGTGCAGCACCCCACCCTACCTCAGCTTGGCCAGTGCCTGAGGTTTCTCTGTGCCCTCCTGGCCCTGAGGTCTCTCCTGCGTCTTCTTCCTTCGTGGATTCAGGTTTCCTGGCTCAGGGCTCCCACAGAAGCTTGTGGACAGCCTCACCTTGCCTCTGTCCATCCTCCACTCTCTAGGCCTTCTGCTCTGGCCCCAAACACAGGGTACCTGTCCTCTCTCCTCTCTTGCTGTCCTCCCGCAGGTCCCCCTTGCCTCTGCAACCTTCCCACAGGACCTGCTTAGTGCTCAGGAGCTTTAGCGTCCCTCCCCTTACCATTCCCTTCTTGCCTAGGCTATCTCAGTCACCCTGTCCCAAGACCCCCTGCTGGCTCCTGAGAGCTGGCCCCAAGGCCCTAAGATACTGACAGTCAACCTGAAACAATGTCAGATCAACAAAAGCAACCATCCCCACACGGAGCTCACAAAGCCCCAATGTCTGGGCACACTGGCTCCTCTGTGGACAACACAGCCCAGCCCAGGCCCGGGGCCCCAGCCGGCACATTCTCGCCCCCAGCCCCTGCCTGCCCCCACCCATAGACGCTTATGTGGCTCTGCTTCTGGGGGCGGGCCTGGCCAAGGCACCTATCCCTGATGGACAGATGAGTTCAGATGGGCGGGATAAAGAAGTTTAAACCAGAGGAGATGAGGGCTGTGGACCTCACTCCAGGCATGAAGGGAGGAGACTGCCCAGCCTGGCTCCCACAGTGTCCAGCCATGGGAACCTGCACAAGGCTCTGGCTTCTCCAGGCTTCATTTTCCCCATGTGTCAGGTGTGAGCATTAGTGGTGTGGCTGCCAGCCTGATGGTTCCCTAGTTCAAGTTCAAACAATAGAAACTCAGAGACAGGGACTGAGCTGGGGCCCAGCAGGCAATTCTCGCCCACAGCCTATACTGCTTCAGTGGCGGCAGTGACTCGGACCCTAGCCAGAATTCTCTGGGTGTGGAAGATCCAGGTTACCAGGAATGTGCTAGGCTTTCACTTGGGGTCATGCTTAATTCTTCTGAACCCCACATTCTGCGGGAGAGGCAACTCAAGTCTCAGAGAGGTAAAATGTCTTCCCATTTGCAGAGGGACCAACCAATCAGCACTGTGCCATGCAGGGTACTCGCAGGCCTGTCTCTCTGAACCTCTGAAGGCCATCAGAGGTGATGCTGGAGGTGACACTGCCTATTACTGTTCGTTCCCCTCTTACAGAGGCAGACAGTCAGACCCTGTTGTCTGCCTGTTCTTCCCCCTTGGTCTAAGGAGTGGAGGCTGAGACCAGGCAGGAGAAGGGAATAAATGGCTGTTGGGTGAGCTATGTCCCTTGCAGTGTGCTTGGAAATGAGGTGTTCCTCTTGGACCTGTAACTACTGAGGGCAGTCCGACCTTATAATGTCACCTCTGCTGTCCGATGCCCTGTAAGTCATTCTGTGGCCTCAGTCCCTCAGTAAAGCCATGCTCCACAGGAACGGTCACCTTGGCTGCCCTCCTGGGAGGGAAGAGAGGATCTGAGTCCACATTTGGGGTCCAGCAGGCTGTGGTTTTCAGTGCAGACCTGAGTGGATGTACTGATCATATGAGGTGTGGTGACCGGAGCCAGGGAGCTGGCAGGGGAGACAGTCTGTGCAGGGGGACAGGTGGCCTGGTGCAGATCTGGCATCCTATTTTGCATTAAAGGGAAGTGTCCCAGAGCTGGGACATTTGGAATTCTGTGGAACCACTGGGACCGGAAGCTCTGCCATCTGGCTAGGTGACTTTTCTGGCCACATCTTTTTTCTCTCAGTCTTCCGTTTCCCCTCTGGGCTTATTGGGACCAAATGGAGTGACAGATGGACAGGAGCTCAGAAGCATAGCCTTTTCTGGTGGTGGTGGTGGTGGTGGTGGTGGTGTGTGTGTGTGTGTGTATGCCAGTACTAAGGCTTGAACTCAGCCTGGGTACTGTCCCTGAGCTTTTTGGCTAAAGATTAGTACTCAATTACTTGAACCATACCTCCACTTGTGGCTTTTTGGTGGTTAATTGGATTTGGGTCTCATGGACTTTCCTGCCCAGGCTGGCTTTGAATTGCAATCCTCAGAACTTAGCCTCCTGAGTAGTTAGGATTACAGGCATAAGCCACCAGTGCCTCGCCACAGTCCTTTCTGGACACAGATAAGGGGCTAAGTTGTGAACAGGGAGGAGTCTCAGAGTCTGAGTATCTCCTGGGTAGCAAGTAGTAGCTGAGTGCCACACAATGTCTGTGTGTCCTCAAGAGTTTTTGTGTAGTGGCACAGAGTGAGAGCATATGATCACTAGAGTGATGCCGAGAGTCACGGACAAAGAGTAGAGACAGGCCAAAGGACAAGTCACCTGTGCAAAGTCCACAGAGAGATCTGATCTGATCTTTAAAGTTCCTCTAGGGAAGAGAGAACTAGGCATCCCTAGTGGGAGAGGGATCCTCAGGGTGACAAGTTCACCTGCAGGGCCTTTGCAGATGACCAGAAGAGAAGCAAGGAGATCTGTGGCTTAGGAATGACAGTCATAGTTCCATTCTAGTTGAGAAGCAGGAAATGGTAGACAAGAATGGCACTGGGACTTGGAAAGACCCTCAGCAATGTGGCACCCAGTACTCCTCCTCCAGAACCTTGGATCCCCTTACCCACCTAGCCAGCACACTTAGCAGAGCCTGAAGGGGGACTGATCAGGAGAAGGTGCTCACAAGTCGGAGGTAGACAGGCCAGACCTGCAGAAAATACCCTGCACAGGGGCTGGGAAGTTGGCTCAGTAGTAGAATGTTTGCCTCCCATGCATGAGGCCCTGGGTTCGATTCCTTAGCACCACATAAGCAGAAAAAAAAGCCACAAATAGTGTTGTGGCTCAAGTGGTAGGGCACTAGCCTGGAGCTGAAGAGCTGAGGGACAGCTCCCAGGCCCAGAGTTCAGGCTCCATGACCAACAAAACAACACAACACAAAACAAAACAAAACAAAAAAAAACCCCTGCACAGTGAGGTGCCAGTGGCTCATGCCTGTAATCCTTTCTTACTCAGGAGGCTGAGATCTGAAGATCTTAGTTTGATGCTAGCCTGGGAAGAAAAGTCTATGAGACTCTTATCTCCAATTAACCAGCAAAAAGCCTGAAGTAGAGGTGTGGCTCACATTGTAGTGCATCAGCCTTGAGGGAAAAAAAACATAAGAAAATCAAACAAAACAACAATAACAACGAAGAAAAAATAGTGAGAGTAAGTTGAAGGGCCAGTTCCAACACAAAAACAAATTTTAAAAAGCCCACTCTGCTGATCCTTCTGACACAAGGCAGGGACCCCTGAGAACTGAGAGGAGGTGGGCACGCTAGAAGTCCTGCGGGCCCTTGAGGCCAGATGGAACGTCCCAAAGATGCGGAAGGGAACAGAGGCAAATGTGGAGAGTCACAGACTGGGTGAGACTGGCTCTTTCCAGCTGGGGGAGTTGCTCACGGGATCTGTGGGCAGGGCTCAGGGCAGGGCTGCCAGCTCTCTAAATAACACCTGCCCTTCCGCCAAGGTTCTCCACACTCTTGGTTCTGGGCTCTATAAAGCCTTCTCTTATCCTGAGACACCCTTTCCAAACCTGCTGGACCAAAACTCTGACCTTCAAGGCCCAGTGCTCACATTACTGACTTAGCAAAGTCTCCCTGATCCTTGCCCCACCCCAGGAGCCTGAGAGGGCTCAGCTCAGAGCCTGGCTGTGTGGCCTTTCTCCTTCTGGGCTCTGCCAGGACCTGTTGTGATCCATCTCTGTCTTCCCCATCGAAGAGCCCCAATGACAAGAACCATTGCTCTCAGATTCTTTAATATGTTCAAAGCTCTCCTATTCATGGATAATTCATATAGTAGTTTTGTTTTGAGACAGAGTCTCACTATAGAACCCAAGCTGGCCTTGAGCTATCAATCCTCCTGTCTTAGCCTACTGACTGCCAAGATTACAGGTGTATGTCTCCATGCTCAGCTCAATAGTCCATCTGTTTGTTGCTGTGAATGGAACCAGTACAAAATGGGTCCCTTACCTAACTGTTAAAAGTAAAGGTAAGACAAATGTTTGAGAAATCCATATGAATGGCATGTTGATAATCTTATATAAATGGAATAATCTCACTAAATTCTCACAAGCAAGGAGACACCCTGGGTCTCCTCCATTTGTCTCCATCCTCTTGGCTTTTCAAACTCCCAAACCCAGCTGCTCCTTGGCTCACCTCTATGTGGGCAGGCACACAAATTCCCTGCTAACTGCTCCTCCTGCCCTCTGCCTGCAACTTCTGCCTGCCACCTCTCCCTGCCCCTGGAGTGCCAGGCCATTCCTGTCTGGATGGATGTTCCTTCCCACTGCTTAAGGCTCGAGTGAAAAGTCACCTAGGCCAGCTGGGCACCAGTGGCTCACGCCTGTAATCCTAGCTACTCAGGAGGCTGAGATCTGAGGATCGCAGTTCAAAGCCAGCCGGGGCAGGAAAGACCGCGAGACTCCTATCTCCAACAAACCATTAGAAAACCAGAAGTGGTGCTATAGCTCAAGTGGTAGAGTGCTCGCCTTGAGCTGAAGAGCTGAGGGACAGCGCCCAGGCCCAGAGTTCAAGCCCCATGACCCACCAAAAAAGAAAAAAAAAGTCACCTAGGCCAAAAGACCTCTTCTGATCACACAATTGGACACAACCCCTAACCGCTCTGTGACTGTGTCAATGAAAATCAGGATGGGCTGTTATCAGAAAAAAATCATACCTGTCTGGAAGGAGTGGTCCCAGGATGCAACAATGTTCTTCAATTCCTTCTATTGAGTGACTTTGCCTTATGGTCTAA